TGGCCTGCAGAGCTGACAGTAGTACTGTTATTATTTACAGAAAAAGGCTGAAGACCCCCCCCAACTTGCAAATAGTAGGTGTTCATGGAGCAAATGCATGAATGAGCAAACAATGGAGGAAACACTTTTCATCCCACTGTGTTATGAAAGATATAACAGAAGAGGATGCAGGCTGAAACAGTACAGACTGGCATCTGGCACACCTAACTCGATCTTCACCTTCTCACCTGTATCCCTGTGAAGTATGCATCATAGAATGGCAGAACAAAGTTGCCAGGGCCCTAAAGATCAGACTATAGTGCCCAATTTGCCAAAAGACACTAAGCTAGTAAATGGCAAATACAGCAAGGAAGTCCCCACTTTTTTGAGACACTAAATCGCCCAGCCTGGTCTCAAATTCAAGATCTTCGAGTCTCAATCTCCCAAGTAACAGGGATTATACAAAAACCTATTGTGAGAAACTTATTTTTCATTATAATCAAGCAAAATTAAGACACAATTATTTTCTAATCTTATACTTCGTGAGATATACAATCTAACTTTAGGATGTCACACATGGGAGGGTCTGAAAGTTTAACTTACCATAAAACAATAAGAAAAAAACCTTATGGAAGCCAAGTGCAGAGGTGTACAACTATAATCCCGCTACTTAGAAAGCAGAGGCTACAGGATCCCAAGTTTGAGGCCAGCCTGGGCAACTTAAGAGAAACCATGTCTCAAAGAAAAACAAAATACAAACAATACTACTTGAGGAACCCAATCAACTGAACACACTCGAAGTGCTGGCCTCTTTTCTCTCTAATCCAATTTTTATTCTATTGATCAACAAGCTTAAACATGAACACTATCCTAATGGTGTGGCACATTTATTTAACACATTAAAATTTGAAAACATTTACTCTTAATCACAATGTACAACATGAAATATATACCTGACTTCTTGTCACTACTGTGACTCTTACCATTGCTTTGAAACATGGCCCTTCTCTAATCTATGGTCTTGAAAACATAGTCAAAGCTATCTCTCCTTAAGTTTCAGTTCTTTCACTGGGCCTCCTATGGTGACAATTTAGTATTTTTTCTAAGATTTTTATGTGGTTGCACAAAATCTATCTCTAGGGTCATCATTTATTCATTCATGTATTTATTTATTTACTCTGTGTTACTGGGCACATGGGACTGAACCCAGAGCCTCTGTACTGAGCTACATACCTAGCCCTGCTTCTAAATTTTGAGACACAGCCTCACTAAGTCACTAGGTTGTCCAAAGTAAGCTCAAACTTATAATTCTCCTTCCTCAACCTTCCAGAGTGCTAGGGATACAGGTGTACACCCCCTCCCTCTTACGGCTTATCATTCTCTTTTTCAGAAGACCTTTTCTTCCATCCACTGCTAATCAACCCCACTTGTCTTCTGGAGAAATTCTATTTAGGACCTGGAAAAATTCTTCCGCCTTTTATTTCTTTTGCTTCAATCTCTCTGGTTGGTATATGTGTACAAGAGGATTTGGTGCTGGGGATCCAACCTGGGCCTTGCCCAGGCAAGGCACATGTTGTACCACTCAACAATGCCCCTAGCCCAACTGCTCTCTTCACACCCTTTCAGCCATCACGCTTTCTTACCCAGATCCTGCAACAAACTCCTAAAAGGTCTCCACACTTCCACCCTTGACCTGCTGCAGTCTATTCACGGTATCCAAAAGTCAGATCACATCAGTGCTATGCTCTGAGCTTCCAATGGCTGCCTATCACTTAGCACACCAAGTCCTTCCAGGGCGTGCTCAGCCCTGTCTCTAGTGACTGCCCCCTTGGCACACTCAGCTCTCCACACTGGCCCCTCAATATTCCTCTAGCATATCAGGCACCTCCACTTCATCCCCCTAGAATACTCAAGCCCACAGCCTCAGAGCTAACTCCATTACCTTGCAGGTCTGTACCCCACTGTCACCTTCCCCACAGGCCTACTGCCCTCATCATCTTTCATGCTGTGACTTACTCATACCCACTCCCCCGTGGTCTTGTTCATCCTGCTCCAATTCTTTTCATTGAGTACAGAATTCATCTTCATCTACTGTATACCCTCCCTGCCAACACTGAGCAAGCTTACATGGGCAGAAGTCTTTGTTCTCTGGTGCATCCTAACCCTAGAACGCTGCCCTGCACACATAAGGTATTTAATGACTACTACTCAATGACTGAGAGAGAGACAGCTTATTCCATTTCAAAGATTTACCCACTGATATTCTCAAACTCATTATAGACATCATTTCTTGCTCCCCTGTGTCTTCTTCTACTAACTCAATGGACAAACTGAAGACAGATGTATTGAACATGGGAATTCACATATGAAGACAACACCTGCCCTCAGGTAGCTCTCTTCTTTCCATCTCTGCCATTGCTTCCTTGGCCTCAGGAAGCACAGGCTACTCATAAGAGGTCTTGCATGTCATATTAAGGTACTTGCTTCATCCAAAGGGCAACATGGAGCCAGTGGTAATGTTACAGCAGGGAAGGGATATGATTTTGCATTTTTGGTAACTCTCACTAGCTACTGACTGCATGGAGAAGAAATGTGAAGGGCAGTGAGATGGAAAAAGCATCAAAGAGGGCAGCACTTTAGAAACCAAGAACAGGGTCAACATTAGGGGGTTGGGAGGGGCACAATGACTCTCAGATGTGACAGGTGACTCCAGAAAGCCAGATACAAGGATTCTCAAGCTCATGGTTGAATGCTGCATCAGAATCACCTAAGGCCTTGGTTCAAAATACAGATGTCCAGCTTCAACCTCAAACCTTCTAAATCAAACTTTAGGAGTGAGACATAAAAATCCTATAGGGAACTAATGGTCCTTTAGGATTTCTACCATATTCAGCCAAGTTTGGAAATATGCAGTACATAAAGCAAGACAAAAAGCTTTATGAGAGATGAAGAATTAGAATTTGAAAATGGTGAGTTAAATTACCTGTACAGACAACTGACAGGATAGCCACTCTGAAGATTCAGGGATTGGTTTTGCTGGAGATCAAACCTTCACAGTGGCTAGAGGCATATGAGTTCTCATTTATAAAGGAGTGAAGAGTGGCATGACCCACGGTTAGGCCCTGAGGGCACCCACACCCAGCTGCAGGGAGTGATAAGGATGCATCACTAGTCTGTAAGGGCTTTACACTACTATTTGTGCTGAGGTACTGCTGTCTCATTAGGTGCCGGCAGTGTGTATGGCTGAGACGTAACAGTGTTTTATAAGCTCCAAGAACAAGTCTGGACCTTCTCAACACACCAGCCAAAATGTCCAGGCCTTATCCAAACTCATGAAATACCTTGAGAGTAAACACTAACTAATTAGCTTTATTACCCAAAGCCTGCAACTCACAGGATACCCTACTGCCTCTGACCCTTGAGATCATCCAAGAGCTCATCCTTCAAAAGTCAGCTTTCACAGATTCCCCAAGACAGAACTAAGTGTGCCTTCTCTAAACATCCATGTGTTTTTATACTACTTAGGATACTTATCACATTCTATTTTGTAGTATATTTGAGCAGAAACAATGGTGTCCATAGGAAAAAAAAACTGTCCCACAGAAATCAAAAGTCTCACCCCTTATGTACTAGTTATATGGCCCTGAGCAAGTCACTTTGGTTTTCTAGTCTGTGGGGAAAAAAGGGACAATAATACCTTCATTAGCACCTCAGGATTATCAAGTGAGATAATTCATTATAAACGGTCAAAAGTTCTCTCTCTCGCATATGTACACATCTTATCTTCCCGCAGTTTAAAACATCTTTAGAGCTGGGATCAAATGTTACCATCTAAATATCTGTGCAGCCTTTCTCAGAATGCCTTGCATATGAACAGGCACTAATACATTTGGTGAAACATGCGGAATGGCTATGAGATGAAAGGAAAGAAAAATCTGTACCCCTCTCATTGTGAACAGGACCTCAGGGAGCTGCTAACAGGCATGCTTCTTCAGCCACACTATTCAACTTGCTATCCCACAACCATGGTTTTGCCAACGTCCTGACATAATCCTTCTCTTACCTCTGTACACTGTGTTACCTATCCTGTCTCTCCTATCTCCCATCCAAGCACACTTCCTCCTCCATCAAGCTTCTCGTGCACTTCAACTCAAAGTGATTTTTCTCTTCCAACCTGTCTATATCTGTATGCTATCATATATATATATATATATATATATATATATATATATATATTGTTTGCTACATGTCCAACTAAATGGTAAGTTCACTGAGTTTAAGATAAGAAAGTTTTCAAAGACATCTTGGAGAACCAATCTTTTAATACAGGTATTTTAAAAATCTAACAGAAGGAGCTGATAAGACCATCTTATATATGAACGACTATCCCTAAATGTTCATAAATTAAATGTCATTAGCTGACTATATCTACCATATTAGATATATGAATGGAATTAACATTTGAAAGTACAGAAGGAAAAACACGACATTCCTATACCTTTTCTACATCTCCCAAATACTCAGACCAATTCCAATACATAACAATGAAGAGACAATATGGTACTGTAGGTAAAATCAGTCTTTCAAGCTAGATGGTGCCAGTACATAGTAGTTACTAATACATATCTAATTTTAAAAATGAATGATCTAAATGGAATGTGGTGACACATAACTATAACCCCTGATACTTGTGAGGCTGAGGCAGGAGTATCATAACTTTGAGTCCCAACCTGGGCAACTTAGCAAGACCCTGCCCCCTAAAATAAAAAGGGTTGGGGAAGCAGTCTGGCTGTAGAGTGCCCCTGAGTTCAATTCCCAGTACTGAAAAAGAAGAAACACACACACACACAAACTGGACTAGTGTTTGATGGACAGTGAGGGGCGGCAGCAAGTGGTTTTCTAATAAAAGGGACACGTTGGAAAATCAGCCAAGTGTCTGTCTTGAAGTTGGGTACGCACATATAAACACAGGTCCATTAAGAGCAGTGAGTCAACAGAAACAGAAAAGCCAGTGGACTCACCCGTTCTGCGGGTGTCTCCTCCCCTGGCACACAGGCAGCCGCTGCGCAGGCTATGTCCATCACTGTGGAGCTGGTAGGAGCGTCGGTTGTGGAGGAAGACCGGGGCCGGCCTGCCTGGGCCACAGCTGCCATCTCCTGGCCAGATTTCCTGTTGATCTGGGGACTCCCCTTTGGGGCCTCTGGCTTGCCCCGCCTACTATGCAAGCTGGTCCCTCTCTTCATCTTGGGTGGTACTCGGATCTGCTGCAGAACTCGGTTCAGAGCTGTAGGGTGGGTGGGGACACCATCAATCTCAGCACTTGCGTTCTGGCTGTCCAGATCCACCTCAGGTTCTGGATCGGCCTGAATCTGCTGAACATCGTGTGGAGACACCGACGACCTCCTGCGCTGGTGCTGGAAGAGGTGCTTCAAGCCTTGGCCAATCACATTAATGTTCTCCAAAGCATTGTGGGTCATCTTAGATAACTTTTGTTCTGATTCTGTCTGCTTTCTGGCCTCTGCATCTTGGGATCTGCCTCCAGGATCAGGGTCCTCATATAACTGTTCACTGCCTGAAGGCTCCATCAGTAGATTTAACAGGCTTATTTGCAAACTCAAAAATTTTTAAACACACCAAGACTGTCAAATTAGGTAGGCATTTGCTTCAACAGTGACTATGCATGCAGCTGTGAGACGGAGGCTTCATGCCTATCTAATGTTTTAAAAAAAGAAAAAGAAAAAGAAAAAGAAAAGAAAACAAACTTATAAATCCATGCAGCAACTCCAGTGTTAAAAACATGCCACTAGCCACATAAATAGGCACTATCATTAAGCAATCTTTAATCAGAAGATTAAAAGATAGTTTTATAGATAGTGGATGATTATTATCTAGAATAGAAGAAAAAGCCTAAAACAAATACACAAGAAATGAAAGCAGCAATACTAAAATGAGAAAAATCCCTGCATGTTTCAAATACATGAGGAATTGGGCACTCGAGGTGCCATCCTGGAGTGGATACCATAGTAACTGTTGATAGAACAGCAACTGCTCAGGACAGGCAACAGACTTTTATGTGTTCAGTCCCCTGAGGCGATTTAATTCCTCTCTTCCAAAACCACAATTTTTTTACGTACATGCTTAAACAGAGTAAGTTCAAAGACTAGCAGGAGTGGCTATCCCAATCTAATTACAGGTGACTTTTAAAGGAATACCAGTATTTCCTGTTAGCACTCATATTTATCAAGCTCAGTAGTAATTAGCGGTTTGTTCTTCTGAAAAGACAATGGAAATAAAAATTTGTAAGCTGAATTCTCTGAGGCACAAATGACCTTCCTGACACCCTAGAAATGAGCAGTTCAGATAGAACCAGTCTCTAGAGAAAGAGCTTCGCTCAGTACCAGCATCCAAGAAAGGCGATTCAAAGAAATCCCCTTTTCAATAGGATCATCCCCAACAGAGCTTCCCATATAGCCACAAAACTCAAAAGCAAAGTAGCAGCACAGTAACTGGGTATGAGGGAAGAGTACACAAAATTAAAAGTGAAATAGCAATATCACCAGTTATTAGAAGCAAGCAGTTAAAAGGAAGCTAAAACTACAGTAGTAGTGCAACAGCTGTGATAACTGAAATCACATGCATTTAAAAAAAAGGATGGTCGAGGGAATGACATTTTTCCTTAATAAAAAGTGTTTTTTATTGAGTTTGTGCACATATGTAAAATAAAATTGTATAAATGTACAGAAGCTAATAAGATAAAACATGATATAGGAGGCTCTTTATTTTCATATTTTTCCTTGACTTTTCGTTTAAAAACTTTAAAACTCCCAGGCCAGGCATGGTAGTACATGCCTGTAGTCCCAGCACTCTGGAAGCTGAGACAGGAAGATCACCATGCGTTTGAGGTCAGTCTGGGCTACATAGCGCGAGACTGTCTCAAAGAAAAAACGAAACAAAACAAAACAAAAGCCATTAAAACTACACTACAAAGTACTTTGAACAACCTAAGTCACAACCAGCGAAGCACCACGGTGTTCAAGTTCTGGGGATATGAGGACACCTTGCCACCAACCGGCTATCTAGAAGAATAAGTTAGCTAGAGTTCATTAAAGTTTAGAAGAACAGGAATGGAGACCACCAGAGCTTTCTTTCTGGTGACTATTCTCAGAAAACCTTACCATCTTGCATATCCTCTCTTGCCTGTTTCCTCATCTCCTGATTTGTTTCTGACTTGCAGATAAACAGGGTAACATAGGTAAAGACATCTGTCTCTTTCCAATACTTCCAACTGCTAAATATTATAAATTTCACTCTTCCTAAACTAAATGAGGCAAATGAAGAACAGCCATGAGAATGGAAAATTTCATTGTTCTTCACTCAAATTCTTGGTAGCCCCAATGAAATTGTGCCATCCCACTATGGCTCCTCACCCTTTTCCTGATTATGTATTTGCTTTTTTTGGTCTTTACCCTTTTGGGAAAGCCAGGAAAGAAATCCTTAACTGTTACTGATGACTTATTGGTCCATAGTGCAGTTTCTGTGAGCTTGTGGTGAAAGAAATGTTGCCAATAGTGCATTTAATTATGCTTCCCTTCCTCACAAGTTTGTCTGGCAAACTAATGATTACTGAATTATTTCTAATCTCCTCAGAGAGAAAGGGCATTGTAAGCAAGATACTCAACTAATCTCCTCCTGCAATGGGCTGTTGAGACTCTGAGAACACAAGCTATGTCAAAGCAGCAGGCTGACTGTGAAGAGGTAGTTTCCATTTTTCTTTATTTGCATTCCATTAGGTAAATAATACAATCGATTTTTTGTTATTGTTGTAAGTAAAATGTATAAAATAAGTTGATCCCATGAGATTAAAAGAATAAAAGGATGGTGTCAGGATTAGTTGAGAAACTTACTTATCTCATAAACAAAGGTATCAGAGGTTGTTACTCAGCAAATCTATTTCTCTGGGTAGAGCTTTAAACAAATCAAATAACTGCTTTCTACTGTAAAAAGTAGGGAATATAACACATTGTAAATACTGTATCAGTAACTTCACCCTCAAATTTCACTAGCATTTGTATATCATTTATTTTCAAATACAATGAAAAATGATCAATTGCAAAGAATGCTAGCATTCCCTAGGAAAATCTAAAACAGGATCAATTTCTAAGCCAAAGCTTGCAAAGCTAAGGCTTCCAAACCAAGACTCGCTTCACAGCTGCGAAGATTAGGTAACAGAATGTAAGTCCAAGATTTTTTGAGGCAGGACTTATCTTAATGATACTAACTGGTATACGTTCATATAGCATGGAGCTCGACAGAAACCTACACCGAGCTTGAAGCATTTTTACAACGAAACCACTGCACTGATTATAAAATGTAATCTGGTACTATTACTTGTAGCTATTACTACATTACTGCTATAATATTAGCACCAACAAGATATATGGTCATAATTTTTCGAGTTCCTAAAATTTTCTTCACAGATCTTTAAGGCCACCTTTCAATATGTACCACATATTATAGAAGGCTAAATGCTGTGCCAAAAATACCAAAGATGGTAATGCTGAATACTTAACTCTATAATCTGCTGATAGGAAGAATGCAAGCACTAAAGGAACTAGATAATTTCAAAGTGTTTTAGGATTCTTCTATTTTTTTCCCAAGATAATAAAGCTCAAATAATAACTATTGCATAGAGTTTATAAAATTTCCCAAGTAACTGTACTTAGATCCTTGGTTTAATACAAACAAGTGTAACTGCAAAGCCCTTTGTATTTTGCTAAGAGGAAGGTGTTGGCTTCTCTTTTATTAACTTGACTTCTCTAGAAGGTGAAGTTCTTACAAGTAAACCAAGGGAAACAAAGGAACACAAAAGTCAACAAAATGAAACAAGAAGGAAGAAGGAAAAAGAGTGAAAGATAGGAAAAGACAGCTACCTGTAGAGCAACCATTTCAGATAATTTTGTTATATTCTCAGAATTTTCAATAACTAATTTTTCTGTCACAGTTTTGCTAAAGAATATGGCATTAGTTCACAGATGGGACACAAGTTGTTCTGAATTAGTATCAGAAATAAGTAAAAATATGTTTAAAATATGACAAATATTCATAAAGGGGCTCTACAAAATCACCCCAAATTATATGTTCTGTCTTTTCATTCCTTTAAATTTTTCTTTCCAGTTTTTTGGTTTTGATATACACGATAATCAAAGCATTGTGAGTTGCCACAAACCAAGTTCATCCACTGACTGTAAAGAGCTGAGTACTTGCCTTTGCTGCTGTTCCTCAAGCCCTCTAGGGTGTACAGCAATCCTTTAGGAAAAGCTGAAAAGCAAGTATCAAGAATTATACAGTGAGCAACTTGGAGGGAAACTTATTCACTACAGACATACAGAAAAGAAACCCTGCAACCACAAAAATGTAGGTATATTAACAGGCCTTATCTCCCATGGGTAGGAAGGATTAGAGTATTTTTTTTACTAGGGCTTTGTGATATTTTCTCATTTTGCAAAAATGTACTCAAGAAAAATTAAGATAGAAGATATTTTGGAAGAAAGAACATTAACTTGTCCGCACTTAAAAAGAAAGAGGCAAATGTCTTGTTTCAGTTAATTTTGACTGCCAACTTGACTGGACTGGGAGCCTCTAGGGATCAGTAAAGCACACACTAAGTGGGTCATGGAGGCAGTACCTTGGGGACTCTATCAGGTCCTGGCCCCTTTCTCTCCAAGGTGCACTCTCTGTGCTCTACCCACAGCTGCCATGATGTAAGCAGCTTTGTTCTACCACACCCTTCCACTATAACACTCCAGCCTTGGAACAAAATCTCTGAAACTGCGAGCCAGATCACATTCTCTTTATTTAAGTTTTAGAAAGCTGGCCAATAAAGAAAATGGGTATCAGAAAAATGGGGTCACTGCTGTGACTGCTATGACTATACCTGACCATTGAGTTCAGAAGTCTTTGTAACTGGTTTATGGGAGGAGTTTGGAGAAGTGGGCTACAGCAAGACAAAAATGCTGAAAGCAAAATCTGGTAAGTGATTCTGGCTGGAGCTAACAAGACCAGGATGGTAGTGGTAAAGGCTAGGTTTGTGCAGTTTTAGATGGGAACAAAGGAATTCTGAGAACTGGACTGCAGGCCACATGTGTTACAGTCTGGCAAGGAATTTGTGTACATTTTGTTAAACTGTTAGACTGGGTGTAAGGACACTGGAGAAAATGTCAAGGCAGCACAACCTCAGGCTGTGGTTTAGAATTGTTGGCTGTTTTTAGCCAGATTTATACTGAAAATCAGAAGCAAAATGCAGAGCAGAAAGGTTCGAGGAAAAAACTGACCATAAAACAATCACCCATAAAGTTGGGCAGAGCAAAACAGTTATGGTTGCTAAAGAGATTAGCACTGTCAAGAAGAAACCAGGACAAAAAGAAAGATGCCTTCTGGGCATCTCAGGACTCAGCAAAACCTCACTTAATGCAGGTTCAAGAGTACAAAGTGTCAACCTTTCATTTAAGGAAAGACCCCAGTTATCTGGCAGGGGTGTGTAGGCAACTGGTTCCCCAGGATTAATTTTACCATGCTCAGCCATCCAGGCAATCAGAGGCTGCTGCAGCTGTACGTCCATGGTAGGTCGGCTGCTACTCACACTGGCAGCAGGCCCTGGTGTCATGGCAAGCAGAAATAACAAAACAACACCCAGGATTTGGAGGCCGATTTATTTATGGTTTTTTTTTTTTATTTTTTTATTATTTTTATTTTTTTGGTTTTTTTCTGGTACCGGGACTTGAACTCACTACCTTGCGCTTGCCAGGCAGGCGCTGTGCCGCTGAGCTAAATCCCCAGCCCCAGATTTATTTATGTTGATGGGCACTGATCAGGATCATTCCCAAAATATTAGGCCCTGATCTCTGGTGGTCTAGGGCTTATATGGGGTAAGCAAGCAGGAAGTACAGAGGCAAATGGCTCATCTATTGGGGGTTGGTTCCTACAATATGCATCACAGTGACCAGCCATTTCTAGGAGACACAAGCAACTGGAACTACAACAGGAACTACTACCTGGGCAACTAAGAAACTGAAGTATACTGGCTGGGGGGCCATTTTCTGTTCCATTGGCATTGTCTGGTCCTTGGTTTTTCAGGTACACAGAAAGATTTTAAAAGAAGGCCTGGGTGCAGCCAGGCAAAAATGTGTGGCAGGATTGGAGTCCCTGCCAGGAGCCCCTGAGAAGGTAGTCCATGAAAGTACATGGGTGGAACCAAGCCTTCATGGAGATGTCAGGATTTGGGAGATTGGAGGAAGGAAGAGTATCTTCCCAAAGGCTTCAGGCTACAAGGAGAACTGGCCATGTGGAGAGAGGCCACGTGGGCTGCAAACAGCCAAGCCATAGAGGTGGGCCCACTCAAGCCCTCTGGAGCTCACATTTCACCACCAAGGGCTCTGGGGGATCCAGAGGACTTAATGGGTTCTGGTCTTTCTTTGGTCCTATTCTTCTCTATCCCTCATTCCTCCCTTTCTAAAGTAGTTCTGGAAGCCCTCTTTCACATCTTTCATGGGAGTCTTGATGTCCTCAATCAATTCAAAGCGTTAACAGCAATTTCTGTCAAATAAAAACATTACATCCACCGTATTTACTGATTCTGGTATCACGTGACTTCCGGCTCTCCTTCAAAGTCAAAATGACCATGAATCATAAACATTTTGAACTTATGCAGGATGAGGCAGCCACAATGATGCAACTAAAAACACTCAGGAAAGAGGCCTCCCAGAACTGCTTCAGAAAGTGGCAAAAATCATGGGATGAATATGTTTGAAGTTGGGGAGTAGGTAGTGTTTTGTTTTGTGAGATTGAATAGCACTTCTTGCCATCCTGCCAAGAGGCTCACATCCTAGATAGTACCTCCTTCTTGGTTTCCTGAAATATGTCCTCCCCTCTTCATGAAGGCAAGGGACAAAGCTTAGCCTAGATCATGGTGCACCAGGCCTGGTTGCCTTCCATTGCCTGGAGTAAAACTCAAACTCATTACTAAGATGGACTCATTCACTCATACATCAGAAATTGAGCACCTAGTGTATACCAGGCCCTGGGATAGTCCCAGTTCTTGTAGGACTCTGAGCTGTGGGAGGAATTGACAAACACATCAGTTAAGTAGCAGCCATCAGATGGCAACCAGCTTTATGGATAGCATCTGGGAGGGCAATCAGGACAGCCAAGAACTGCATTCACATGTTACACACAGTGGGCAGACTTCACTGTAGGACACACTTAAGTGATGACTCAAGGAGGTAAGGGAGGTACAATTTACAGGATACAGGAGTATTACAGGTGGGGGGCCGGCTGTGTGCTTTCCTGGGACTTGGGGGCTACACAGGTCACAAAACTTTCAGCATTTAAACTGGGAAGGCCCTGGACACACCAGATAATGTGGACACTCAAGGTCCAGAAAACAGAACAGCAACTAAAATGGCCCACAAGGGTGCTATTTTGAGGGTGATTAATGACAGTATGTCTTACACTGTTATAAAATTTTTAGCATCAAGTGCTCACTGTACTTTTTGATCACACCACATACATTCTCTAACAGCATGAATCCCTAAGGTTCAAGAGTGAGGGGTAAGGGGCTGGGGATTTAGCTCAGTGGCACAGCGCCTGCCTAGCAAGCCTGAGATCGCAAGTTCGATTCCCGGTATGGGGTGGGGTCGGGGTTGGGTGGGGGTGGGTGAGGGGTAAATCCCACTCTTCCCTTTTTCTTTTCCTACTTTCTCCTGCCTGTGCTTGCAGGCAAATCAGGGGAGATGAAGCCAAAACGGAGGGTGGACAGGCATCTTGGGGCCTCTCCCTCACCAGAGGAACTATAGCCCTAAAGCATTTAAGAATCCCACTGCAGGGAGAAAGAATAGGCCAGAAACTGGGACAAACTGCTACAGTCTGAGTGTGGCCTAGCATCACTGTGAAGTCTGTGGAGGCTGTAATCACAAGGAGCTTTTGCATCCCAGAGTGGCTTTTCCTCCAGGAACCTCCAAAGGCTAGAAATGCAGCTAGAAATCAGGAAGAGAACTTCTCACTTCCACCACCTGGAACTGGGGGTGAGGGTAGACAGCAGCCAATGTAGCCACTGCAGATTCACTTCCTGTATCTTTATACTACCACCAATGCCTGTGTCCTGAGAACACTGATAGAATTCTACTACATCTAGGGGAAGGGAAAGCAGGTCAGCACCTAGTCATCACTATCTAAAGTAAAAACAGCCTTACTAAGCAGGGGAGAAAGGCTTAAAAAAACCCTGAGCCTGCGGATTCTGTTGAATACTCACTGCAGTTAAGGAAAAAGAAGGGGAAGGGTGCAGAATTTTGTGAGGGTCACACCCCTAAACCTGTGCTCCAGTACCAATATAAATCCAAGGTTAAACCAGAACATCACAGAACTGCTCTCACCCTTGCTGCCACTAACATTCTTTGAGGAAAAGTAACTGTGGACCACAGCTGGGAGTGCCACAACACACACTGAAGAAGAGCACAGAGGGAAACTCAAAGCCAAACAGAGACAAAGAACAAGTTATTAGCAGGGAAATTTGAAGCCTCTGGTTTCCCTGGCAACAGCAAATGTCAATTTCAGTGACCATAGCAGTAATAAACATCACACTGAACCTGTGAATCTATTAACCCTACCCCCACCCTGCAGGAAACCTACAACCAAACAGGTCAAAGGATATCAAATATTTATCTCAGTATCTCTTGCCACAGACAACACATACAGCTCAGACTAAACCACGCTAAAGACAGCGATGGAGTGGAGACAAAACAATCAGAGCCAAACACATATATGACATGGGTTTTGGAATTATCAGAGAATTCACAAAATAATTTAGTAAATGTTCCAATGGAAAAGGTAAACAACATGTGAGATCGGATAGGTAATTTCACAGAGAAATGCAAATCATAGGCAAGAATCAAGTATAAATGCTAGAAATGAAAACACAGTAACAATGCTAGAAATGAAAACAGTAACAACTGCTTCTGACAAGCAGTATATATGTACCGAAAGAGTGACTTCAAATAGTTAAGAAAAGAACTTGAGAACAGTCTAGCAAATTTGCACAAATTGAAATATAAACAGGAAAAGAAATTTTCCTACTTGAAGAATATCTGAGAGCTGTGAGAAAATATCAAACACTGTTACACATTTATACTTCGAGGTCCAGGAGCAGAAGAGAGAATGGAGAAGAAGAAAAGTTCAAATAGCCAAGAACTTATCAAAATTAGTAATAGGACACCAAACTATTTATTAAGAAACTCTGAAAATACATATTTAACAGGATAAATGCC